ACAAGATAACACACCTACATAAGAAAGCACACACCCCACAGAATACGACACCCCGGTGATAGTTTTGGGCGCTTCTGACAAACCATCGATTTATCACCGGGGGTACATAAGATAACACACCCCGGTGATATTTTTAGTTACGCCGCATATAGTCACGGGGCCCCTCCTTCTTTATCACCGGGGTGACAGCATCTGCCCTGGGCAATCACACACACAGCCACGGCATCTGTGTGAGGGGAAACACCCCGCATGGACCCCCAACAACATGAACGTGCAGGCAGAGCAGAATGCAGCCGCAAGTACCAAGTAAACGTTTTTGCGAGGGGGGCAGGAAGGATGGCGCACGCAGTCTGTCTGTGGCCACCGCCAATCATCGTATCGGTCGAGGTACCTTCGATTTGTAATGTTGTCTTGCTCGATTCAAGCCCGGATTTTGTTTCAAACTTTTTTTGGCGATGAGACGGTTGAGTTATCTCCGAGGTCACGTGCTCACAGGAGTTTCATCACCTCGGTTGAGTCCCTTTGTTTTTCCACGCCCCTTTAGGTAGGTCCCTACACTGCACGTGTACGTGCAGGCATGACTATCACACCCCCTCATTTATCACACCCCAAAGCACACGCTGTCGCTGTTCGGACGCGCTATCACACCCTCTTTTATCACACACCCAAACACATGCTGTGGGTGTTCGGACGCGCTATCACACCCCCTGTTTTACCACACCCCCTTACGGGCCCCTGCGAGCTGCACTTTATCACCCGGGGTACACAAGATAACACCCCCCCCACAGGATACCACACCCAGTGATAATATTTTCAAACTCCAAAATGTTATCACCGGGGTGTGTTTTCTTGTGGCATATACGGTATTTGGGTCATCGAAAAATAAGAAACCACAAAAAAAGCTGCTTCACACGCGACGGGTACACGGACACTTCAAGCCGGAAAATCGAGATGCCCGAGAAACAAGGCGACGGGAGGCTCGTGCTGTGGCACCATTGAGGGAGGGGCGGAACCACACCTGGTTCTTGAGCTTGCTAAACTCCTCCTCGTACTCCGCCAGCTCCGACCGCAACTTCTGCACTTCCAGCTGGTATTTGAGAGATACCGCAAGAGGCAAGGGCGCAATGAAAACGAACGTCAGGAGCAGACGCGGCGAGACACAGAGAGCTACGAACTTACGAGGCATGGGTGCTTGCAGCTACAAACCCAGAACTTGGTGTCAACAGATGCCGTGGGAGGCGAGGGCGAACGCTAACACATTTCAACAAGAGAGGCGGCGATCTTCAAGAGATATGGGATACAATTGACTATGGACGTAACGGCTATGGACGTAATGGTTGCATACGGTACGACGACGGGTGGCAAGAACGAATACAAAGCCGTTGAAGGGAACGAACGATCCAACGATCCAACGTGCCTCGTGTATCGGTCGACCAGGGTGGGGGTGGGGGTAAGGGGAGCCGATATTCTCGGCGGCAGCGCGACAAAAAATACGGGTACGATCGGGATTTCGATTGACTGCTTAGCATCCGCCAACATGCCACCCACTACCGCCACAAAACCAACAACTACAAGGATAACGACGACGACAGCAACAACATCTTCCGCATGGGCAACACAACACCCATCACACCAACACCGCCACAGCATGAACCGCATCAGCCACAATAACAACTAAATGGACAACAACGAGGACAACAACACCATCAACATCAACATCAACGACAACAACACCACCATACCTCAGAAGCCGCAGCCCGGGGTCTCTCGGACGCGGACCGTTCCAGCGCCTTGGCGGGATCGGGAGCCTCGTAGAGCCCCTTGTACAGCGAGAAGAACGCCGAGTCCGACGCGCGGCACCGCTTGGCGAGGGTGTCTATCTCCTCCTGGTACGCCTTGACGAGCCGCTGCACACCCGCCACCTTCTCCTGGTCGGATCTGGATCAGGTTTGCGTCTTATTTAGGGGTCTTCTTAATTTATACTTGTACTTCAAGAAATTGTCGGCTCTCCAGAGTCTGTTGCCTGTAGTAACGGTTCTGCTATCCTTAAACTTCATGCTTGGATGACCTTTGTCAGACCAATTCGAGTCGCTGAATACTGGCTCCCGGGTTGTCAGCCGGCCACAAGGTGGCCTAACACGAAAGAGAAACAGATTCCATCAAGTTTCTTCCTGATCCTACTTCCGCACACTGTTTTCCCCTTACCACTTCCAATCCCCTTCTATCTACAATCTCCATCTCCAATACCGTACCGTGTTCTTTCTTAGTTTCCGCCCCATCTATCCTGCCGCCTATGTAGCCGTTTGAAACGTCAAGCAATACTCATCACGGATCGTTTTCGGCGCCTTGATCTCCGTCCTATCTATTGTGGGCGGCGCAGATAGTCTGCCTGGACAACGGAAACGCCATACCACATCACTCATCACCGATCATTATTGACGCCTCACTCATGTCTTGCCCGGCAGAGAGCGCTGATTAATATTGATGGAAAAAAAAGAAAAGAAAAAAAAACTCACTTCTTGCGGAACTCCTTGGTGAGCTCGGCCAGGTTCTTGCGCCTGACGAGGCTGGCGTCCTTCGCATCTTGAAGTTCCAGGCCCTGCCATCCCATGGTATTCCATTCCATTCCATTCCATTTGGGTGCCGTCACACATTTTCATTCACTTCACACACATCCCGCCCGTTAGAAATATATCTGACGGCGCATTGCACTTGGTGGTGTGAGAGCCTGGTCCGGTGAGAACCCTGCGTGCGCCGTCCCGGCTTTGTAGGGATGCGCGGTTTACGGACTAACGACTACGGCATGCACGGCTATGAGTACTCTCCCCGTCCGTTAGCCTGAGCCGGCGAAAACCCGGAAGGCATATCGCTCCGTCCCGGATGCGAGGTCAATGGTCTAACGACCACGGCATGCGTTTTACATGAATAAATTATCAGAACACCCCCGTCCGTTTCTGTGCCTGGTCTGCTTCGGCCATGACCGGTCTGTTGCGGTCTACAGTGTATCATTGGCGTCATTTAGCTCCTGATTGTTTTTGTGGTGATCGATTCGGCGAGACCCGCACACCTTTCGCTGTAGCTGGGAGGTACTTGCTGTGTTTGGTCGAGGAATTCCACATGAAAAACATTGAACGGAGCGACTCCTTGGTGACAAACATAATGCCATGGACACTCAAATCAACAGGGGTAACGCAAACAACACGAGGGAAAAAACGCACCTGCTTGTCGAGCTGCAGTCGCCTCCCGTCAAGGTTGAACTCCTTCCAGAAGGTAAGGACCACCTGCCAGAACATCGTCGTTGTTCTCAATTATTGCTGTGGTTGTTGTTGTTGTTGTTGTTGTTGCTGTTACTGTTCTGTTGTTGTGGCTGCTGTTTTGATGTTGCGCAATCTAACGAACCAGCTCCTACCCATCAGTTTTCGCCATTATTATCGCTCATGTTGTAGCCGCGTCGCGGGGGCCTGCCCGAACCCACGGCATACAACACCTGCGTGTCGGACACGCTCGTGACGTCCACATCAACCGACACAGCCCCTGCCACAACGCGCGGCTACGGCCGCGATTCAATTGGGCATGGGTGACGCGGCGCGACGATATGTTGCTACATAATCGGGCACCACAGGGATATATCAGCTGGATATTGTTTATCAGCTGGAATACTGTATACCGTGCAGATGACCATCCACTCAACAGCGCGGGGCTGCGCGTGCGATTTGGGCTGCCGTCCTGTCTTGTGGAGAGGAACGCATGCCAGCCAACCTGGAACAGCAGTCCACCTTGGTGACTATTCAGTTACAGCAGTATTTAGTGCCTTGGGGAGAGCTATTTAGTTCCAACGTAGAAATCGTCACCACCGTCCCGTCGAGCGTTAGACTACCGACCGACCGTTCGCTTACCGACCATACCGCAAGTATAGCGTAGGACCCACCGCGCTATTACAGCGGTAGGTAATTAATTTTCTTACTCCTTCGTACTTGGAAGTACAGCAGTACTTTGAAGAAATACAACATACCTTACAGAGTAGTCGTTGGTATCTTTAGGAACGCCGTGTTAGAAAGTACTTAGGCCTAAACTAAGCCTGTGCGACCTGCATGGTGTTTGTTTTTTCACAGATTCGTAGATGTTCTTGTGCACACTAATGTAGCGGGCCGGTAAAATACATAGCCGCCACAAAATGCCACAAAAGTTGGTGCGTGCTGCTGTGGAGTGCAAGAGGGTTCGAAAGACGGACCAACAACAACGCAACAGAGGGGACCACAAGCAGCACAGCACTTCTAAAATATGCATAGGTTGCTCTGCAACTGCTGTACTTCCCCCGCACAGCAGACCCACCACTGCTGCCACACACGCCTACATAACGAAAAATGAACCACGCCGCAAGGAACAGCCATGGATAAGGCAAGAGAGAACGCGAAACAGCAGCGTACGAAGGCAGCACCAAAGATGTTTGTTGTTGGATGCCCTACCAACTACATTAGGTGCGGTGCAACCAAGTGGTGAGGTAAGCTCCGCCAAAGACAGCAGAGTAGACAACACCCCGAACAACCTTCCGCAAAACGCAAAACACCGAGGATACATAAACCAAAGGGCAGCATTTCTGTGCCCACAGTCTACAGCGTCGTCCGCTTGGCCGTCCTTATGCCCGGCCCCTGAAGCTCTCGAACGAGGGGGGGGCGTGGAGAAGAGGCATCGGGGCAGCGCACGCGCCATCAACAACCCCCTTCCTAAACAGCCTTGATGATCGTATGGTCCTTTGTAAAAAGCAGTAGAAAAATTAGATACAGTCAACGGAGTACCGAGACCAACGAACGAACGAACAGCTTTGCTCGCACCTTCATGTGGGCTTGAGCGCTCGTGGCTCCAAGTTCGAGCTCCTCGTCTCGTGCAGACGCATCCCCGCCAGCCAAAGAATCCATAGCCCGCCGCCCTGCCCGACCTAAGGAGTCTCGGCCTAATTGATGTAGTGGCTTGTGTTGTGGTTGGGCCGCGGGGCATTTCGCGCCCCGCGGCCGGATAGTGGGGTACCCCCCCCCTCCATTGTCGCGGGAACACAAATATGAATGTTAATGTTCTTCCTCTTTTTCAGCTGGAGAAGCGACCTCACACGTACACTTCGCTTCCCTCACACCTACAGGCGTCATCATTTTCAAGGCCGAGCGAGGCTTTACGATCATTGAGCCCCCCATTATAAGGTCTTGGGGCTGGATGCCGCCCCGATCCCCCGCCGGCCCTCCTATGCGACGGCGAGGCCGAGATCGGGAGGGCGTTGTTGATGATCCTGCTGCAGCAGCGGACTGGAAACAGCAGCGGCGGGGTGAACAACAACAACACCTGAGTTCTTCTCAATTCTCTCGACTAGCTCGCGGCACCTCAGTGAGCTTCTCGGCGATGGAAACAACAGCAGAGGAGGACGTTGGGGAGGGGGACAGCGACGACGACGCGGCCGAGCCCCCAGGCGGCGGCGGCGGCGGTGCCAGGTTGTCCAGGTGGCTCGGCAGCCGGGAGCCCCTGCCGTCCTTTTTTCATTCCTCAGCGGTAGGAACGGCATCGGCATCGGCATCAGCAGCAGCGGATTTTTTAGCAAACAGCGACTCGAGCTCGGAGACCTCCGGATCATCCGCCGTGTCGGACCAGGCCATGATGGAGCTGAGCGCCCACGACGAAGGGGACGGCGAGGAGGATGGCGTGGCCCCCATGGGGATCTTCGTCCCCGCGCTAGATCGGGCGGCGATGGGTAGGCGGGGGTTGGGGCCGTCGTTTGCTGATGATGCGGAAATGGGGCAGCGGGTGTGGTACCAATCTGAAACGCCCTGTTCGAGGGAAAAGGCCAACAGCAGCAGCAGCAGCAGCAGCAGCAGCGGAGGCAGCGCTGGCGGCAGCAATTGCGCCAGAAGAATAGGCCACTTCCGCGCGCTGTCGTCGCAGTGCTTGGAAGGGCTGGACTGGGGGGACACCGGGGCGCATCACCGACGGGAACGGTCCGAGAGCGAGCCGAGAGTATCACAAGGTGTGCGTGCGTATGCCCTGTAATAGCACAACTCCGTCGCGTGATTTGTTTTCCCATCATCATCTCATGTCTTCTTATCTGTACATACGAGTGCAGTTGCGATATTTTTCTCTTTCCGATGTTGTGCTGGCCTTACAATAGAACGCCCACGCCGCCGTTGACCGTTTGCAACGCACCACAACCCGGTTCGATCCTCCTCCCCGCTCAGGGGCGGCGCCCCACACGCCAGCCCCTGCGTGCCGTTCATTCTGAGATCATCGTCGACCCTTTGTCGTTGCTGCAGTTGAGCTTTTGTGGTGCATTTTTTTCTTCTTCGATGCGAATGTTCGCTCCGTCCACAAGTACACACGTATCCTGTGGGTTCTCGTCGCCCTTTCTTTTTCCAATTACATTGGAATACCATTGAAGATAGAAAATAATATAATGCGTGCATCGTCACGCACCCCAGCCGGCGGCGGCAGCAGGGAAATTCGAATTGTTCAATGTCGTGTCTGTCTCATCATGCGCGTCAAGACGAGTGCTGTACGCAGTGGTCATCATGCTCAGGGCGTTCGAATGCCCGCCACGGATGCAGGGGGAAACGGGAATGTATTGGCGAAGGCAATAAATTGCTGTTGCGATGTAAGGCGGGCGGCGAGGGAAATGCGCGATGCTAGATGGCAGAAATGACCCAGCAGACCACGCATGCAACCTCACGAGACCACGGCGGTCTCTTTTGAGCACACAACGTGCAATGCAGCCAGCCGTATGCGCTTCCTGCGCTGCCCTCCTTGCCGAAATGGTGGGCCACAAGGGGACGGAGCGCTCAAACATAGTTGAGGGGCTACAGAGAGACAGAACGAAGAGTGAGAGCGCTCGAAACTTGGAACACACACACACACCTTTTGTGGTTCATGTTTGTGTCGGCGTCCGCTCAACCATGGGGCTTTCACATTTTTGACATGATACGCATGTTGTTTTTCTCGAATCCCTCCCTCCCGTGTGCGCTGCTATTATTTGCAATATTCATGCCACATTGACTCAGCACAGCACAAAAATCCCGACGTACATGTATAGGCCTGAAGGAGGACATCGAAATACCCACAGATGACACCCGCATAGTTGACCCCAAAAACCAGCGGAACGGTGGGGTGCTGCAGCACATGCTACGGGGCTAGGAGGTTGTCGTTGTCGTTCGGAATTTTTACCCGCGTGCGGGAGCCTTGATTCCCTCCGATGGTCGAAAAGGTGCACAATTTTGTCGTTTTTGCCGCCTTGGCATTGCACTGAAGTAAGAAGAGGCGAGTTGCTTGCATCTATCTGCTGTGTCGTGCGTGTGCACCCGCTGCGCGGCAGCAGGCGTGTGGTGGCCGGCATGCGCTTGGAGAGAACTCCTGACCGGCGTGTTTGTGTGTCTGTGTGTGTATGTCCGCTCGCTTTTGTCGCTGGTTCGATTTGTTTGAGACGTGATGAGCAGCAGCAAAGTGCGCGCGCTCATGTTGTGTTGCTGCCTGGATACACTGGTGCTTGCTGGGTATGCATGTTGTATGCCACTGGTTTCTGGCTAACCTGCCGATCATGTGCATGTTTTTCTGTTGAGAAAGCTGCCGTTTCTCGAGCTGGTCTCTGCTGTTCATGAAAGGAGGAAACGTAACAATACACCGCCTGCAACGAATCCTCCCACGCACAGGAGCGTTTGGCATGTATTGTTGTTGTTGTCTTGACATCAAACTCGTGTCAGTTGCTAATCCCAAAATCTAGCAAAGACGCGGTCCGTGGTCACAAAAATGCTAGAGCCATCAGAAGATCCGAAGAACACGCAAACTAGCAAGAAAAGGGTAACCAAGCCCGAAGAGGCACCTACATCCCTGCAGCACGTTTGCGTGCCCAAAGACTGAACTACCCGTCCATACACTACATTCGACTACAGTACTGTATACAGCAGCATCACCCCCCCTACACTTTACCAAAATGAATGTCGACCACAGCGTACAGCTGTCTGGAGTGCTGCCTGTACAATAACACCATGGTATGCACAGCAAGCAAAAACTTTTGGAGCGTCGTTTCTTCGAACGGTTTTTACCTCGAAAGCAAGGCCTGAGCGCTTTGCACTATTTATTATACCCTTCCCTCGATCGAGTTTTTTTTTTTTTTTCCTCCCGGGGAGCCAGCCGTATCAGGCATCTGCTGGCTGCACGGACGAGGGCACGACAGCAAGTCGGCACGTATCGTAGATACAACAATAATTTTCGCGGGAACGATGCCCACAACATGTTTCGAACGGTTCCTTGCTGCTGTTCACGGGTGATTATACCGTTATGTCCTTCCGCCCGATGATACTCCGACAGCAGGAGGAGGAGAGCGCCCACGCCTCAGCAGCAGCAGCAGCAGCAGCAGCAGCAGCGTGTCGCGTATCCCTTTTTTTTGGTTAACGGGGGGTTGGCGCCGGCGGCCACGCCACCTCTTGGAAAAGAGCGGTGGTTGATGTTGTGGGTTCGGATATTTCGCGAAATAAACACATGACAACTTGAACCCTGCCTCCCGCTACAAACCTACCATGGTGGAGAATGTAGACTCCCTCTGTTGGATTCCCCACAGCAGTACGTACGGAGTTGCGAAAAGTCGATTTCTGCAGACCACGAGCGTGTATCGGGGTCTCCTATGCTGCCAGGTGATGGGTGGTGTGTTATGCATGCTGCTGCTGCTGCTGCTGCTGCTGCTGCTGCTGCTGCTGCCCTCAATCCTTCTGCTGCGATCGATGGGTTGGGTAATTGAGGTGCATTCGTTTCCTCTCCTCTTCATTTTTCTTCCAGAAGCAATAGGCGATCGATTTAGTGACATATTTCGCCACTCGTGAACATGAACGACGACGTGGCCGTGGGGACAGCAGGGCAGGAGGACAAGACCCCCCCCCCCCAGTGTGTAAAAGAGATTCTGTCGTGCGCTGCGGTCATTAGCATCATCGTGGTGTCCCACCTTACCCGTGATTGCCGTCGTCGTCTGTCCGTGTGTCTCATTCTCCCCCCCCCCCCCCCCCAACCCT